TACTCCAGGAGAGACTCAGGGGTTGCGAGACTTTGTAGAGACCTCACTCTTAATAAGAATCCCCATTCACGAATAGTCCAGAGCTGGCACTGTTGAGACATGGGCGAAAACAATGTTAGTATTAGCACTCCACAGTGGATGTCAATTACCGGCCAGCCGCTTGACCTGGGGCTCCACAACTCTGGGATTGAAGGTACGAAGCTGCAAATGCCTTTATGAGCCTGTCTGACCCAGGGGCAGGGCAATGCGTCTCCATCGCCTCATATGAGAAGCTCAATCAGCTCGGTGAAGGCAGTAAGAAAGGCAGACCGTGTATCATTTCCACCGCATGACTGACCAGATCTAGCTTACGGTGTCGTCTACCGGGCTCAAGACCGTCAGACTTCTCGAGTCGTCGCCCTGAAACAAGTACGAATATCAGCAGAAGAGCGGCAGAATAGCGTCCCAATCACTACGTTACGCGAGATCTCGATTCTACGGTCTCTGAAGCACAATAATATCATTGATGTGATCGATGTGGCAGTCGGGGCGCATGCAATGGATGAGGTCTACATGGTTATGGAGTATGCTGAGCAGGTTGGTAATCCGATGCCGAGATGAAAACCCGAGGCATTCCAAGAGCATTGGCGCACCTAGCTGGCTTATTTTCCCTCGTCTGGAAAGACGGAGGAATCGCCGGTTTCTAAGAGGCTAGGACCTTGCAAACATGCTTGATGAGCTAAACGTCAAGTTCACTATGAGTCAAGGTATGTTATATGGAGTAGACTATTGGTTGGTTTCTGCGCTGATGAGTCCCTGTAGTCAAATGCCTCTTCCGACAAGTTCTCGAAGGTATCGACTACCTGCATAGGAACGACATCATTCACCGGTATACTTTGAGAATGCGGATCTAGAGCTTTGTCTTCTAACTTTGTACAGGGATGTGAAAATGCAGAATATCCTGTTAACAGCGAAAGGTGTCCTCAAGCTTGGTACGTCAGGGAATCAAGTCAACGATCTGGAAACCTACTGACTGTCAACACGAAGCTGACTTCGGCATGGCTCGTGCATATTCCACGCGACCTCTGACACCCGGAGTGAGTCATCCTTTCCGAGCCATGCCTTTGTGATTGCTACTGCATTGGGAGTTGCGAGACGTGTCGCAGGAGTTAAAGATTCACGAGACCTGCTTTCTGACTCAAATCTGATTTCACAAGAGACAGTCTGACTCGAAATCATATAGGTAGTCACTATTTGGTACCGGTCGCCGGAGCTCTTGCTTGGCACAAAATACTACAGTCCATCCATCGACCTATGGTCTGCTGGGCTTGTGCTTGCGGAATTGCTTCAAAGCGCTCCATGCCTTACTGGAGAGACGCCTATAGAGCAACTATCCTTGATCATCAAACTCCTTGGCTCACCCACCCAAGATGACCTAGCAGCACTGTCAGCTATGGGATGTCCTGAGCTCATCCGTTGGCGCAGAGAAGGACTGGCGTCTGGCCGAGCCGACAACATGGATCGGAGATTCCTGGCAAACACCTCGCCTGAGACTATTAACTTCTTGAGAGGTCTGCTCAAATGGGACCCCAATGCTCGATGGACAGCTGGGGAGGCCTTGGGAACTGGCAAAAGCCGACTCTCTGCAACGGCAGAGAAGTGGTGGAAAGAGAGCCCACGCGCTATCGACAAGGATTTACTCCCTACATTCCCCGAAGTACGCAACGTGGAGAAAATCCAGACTACGACGAACCGTGGTAGAGCGGAGGTGGAGATTGCTGGGCGGGTGGGGAATAATAATCCAGGGAGAGGGGATTATATTTTTGACTTTAGCGAAGACAGCGATTTGCGGAGGCCTGCAAAGAGGCCTCGGGCACGATGATGCCAGGTGACTTGAATCCTGCTCATCACCGCTCTGCATCTCGTGACAGAGCACCAATTGCTTTCGTAGATAAGCATATCCCTCTTTTCCATGAATTGGATACCTGACGCGTAGTCTATCCAATCCTTATCACGCAGGAAATTCCCCCTGGTGGCAGCTCTGACGAAGCGAACCCAATCAGCCCCCTAGAGTACTAAGGCCGAGGCGGTGTCACCTGTCACTGGGGGCGATCTTATGCATTAGTATGCACAATGGAAAGTGAATCAGCGCAATCCTGTTCCCGCCAATCACAATTCTGCATCAAGCCACAAATCAGATATTCTGACTGCCTGATAATGAATTTTCCGATGACCATTTGCGCATTGGCCGCCGGCGGTGACTGACTACTCGAATTTGGTCGATCATTGGTCTTGGCTGGCGGCACAAGCTCCGCGTATTATCACACCTGCCCCCCAACTGTCATCCTTCAACCTCTACATCCCACTCTGTGGGACTTTGCTGAGGGATACGAAGGGGGAGGATTTTAAGGCATCCAACTCTTACATTGCCATAAATCAATCTCACGAACAATCACTCGAGGATATCTACTCGGCTCTGTAGTCTAGGGGCGGCGTTTGTGCTTTGGTGTAATAATCTCGATACCTCAAGCAACATGACGAGACGCCTGGTCTATGGTGGTGCCTTAATAGCTTTTTTAGCTGGTAAGTGTCTATCATGCCATCATGTAAGGCGAGACCCACTCACTGAACCCTTAACAGCCTCCGCCTTAACCTTGGCCAGCATAATAATACCAAGATGGATAAGCTGGGATAGCGAAACCGTACGCCTCCTCCACTTTCCCACCTCTCAAAGGCCTCCCACTGACATCTTTCATCTTAGCCCAGCGGCGCAAAGATTCACTACACCTACGGTCTCCACCGCCGCTGTTCCTCTCTCACCAACGCCTGCGAATACTTCCCTCACGAAGAAGACTGCCATGGCGACCGTTACTTCTGTTCCATGTGGCGCTCTGTCGGATTTCTCACATCATTTACAGTCGTCCTAGAGGGTATGACGCTCATTACGTATATCGTCATTCTGGTCGGAGGCAAGCAAAAAAGGGAATCGGGGTGGAAGATATTGGCTGGACTGCATCTGCTCTGCGGGGCTGTGGAATGTGCTGGGATGGCGATCGTAGTGAGCTTCTCTGTCAAGACTTGAAGCTAGGGGATCTAAAGCGATATGGAACGGATCCGCTAATACAGGGTGACAGGCATACCTCTACGAGAACGATGACCGCTTTTTCCCTGGGTGGAAACTCGACATATCATGGATCTTCTTAACCATCAGCTGGAGCGTCATGATGCTCCTAGGAGCCGGAATAACTGGAACTGCATTGTTGCTACCATCAGAAGAAGGCTACGAGCTGATACCTGGTGAGGATTGGCGCCGAGTTGGGGACCAGGATGACTGAAATAGCTTCACACAAGATGAGATTCATGGTAGGACGAGGAGAGGGTGGACACGCGTGCTTGATGACTGAGTGATAGAGGGATGAGAGGTGCGACATTTGTCACTTTCGTGATATTCTAGCTACTTAGCGGGTCAGCTTTCAGCATTTACAAGCTACGGCTTAATGAGTTTGGGTGGCATTTGGAGCTCAAAGCTTGGGGCTCACGTCTCCCACTGCTTACTCGCTACAGGCGAGCTGCCAGAAAGGGCGGTAATCTTAGGCGTTATCCTGTCTACCAGTGTACACAGTCATGGGTATAGAGCCGAAGAATTTGGGGAGCCACTGGCTTTACCAGTTCCAGCAGAGCTTTTTGTCGACACAAATGTCTCTTATGCTTATGTTGTCAACCCTCAACAAACTTTGTACCACTACAATTACCACCCTTTCATGTCATAGACACAATAGAGGCAACTGGTCCTCGGAGCAGGCTTGTAGACTTCCGAAGCAGAGAGCTGCCAAGTAGACAATGCAATCATGCTGTTCGACACGTCTGAGTAAATCATCTCTAAATAGAATTAAATAACGACATATAATTGCATAGGAGAATTCATGTTCGGAGCTAGCGAGTTTGGCCGAGTGGTTTAAGGCGGTAGATTTAAGCTCTACTATCGAAAGATGCGTGAGTTCGAACGTCAGTAGTGAACAGAAGGGAGCGTGAATAGTACGTCGGCTTATTTTCAATAGCTCACAGCTCGCATACAATATATTCCTTTTTTTGCATTTAGCATCCCTGAAGTAAGGGTCAGTAGTAGCAGCAAGTGTTGACACTATGATTCTTGACTTGTGAGACCATAGGGGGTTTTGATATAATATGTATGGGTATCTAATACTAGGGACATCGTTAATTCCTCTCATCATGACGATTCATATAACCTCGTAAACCCCTTCTCAGGAGGCTTCAACCAATTCCTACCATCATAATCGTTCTCGCCTTCAATGACATGAAATGTATAAATGAACCTACTCTTCCCACTCAAATTCCTTTCGCTCTTGTGCAGCAGGTTCCCATGTATAAGTACCAGCGTCCCTGCCTTAACCTCGCCCAGCTCATATTCTTCCTCCTCGTCCTTCTCCAGCTCTTGGGTTTCCAAATTCTCCGGGAACTTCGCCCCTGCCACATCATCAAACCCCGTCCCTCCCCCCTCTTTCCTCACAAATCTGCTTGTCACAGGCGCCCTTCTGTGCGAGCCTTTGGCAAAGCTTAGACACCCATTGTCTATCGTGGCATCCTCAAGTGCAATCCAGAATCCCACCGCACTTGGCGGATCCGTGTATAAAAATGTGCTATCCTGATGCGGTGGCACCCGTCCTCCAATCTCGGGTTGTTTGCAAATGATCATGCTCTGAAGTACCCTTGGATCTTTGAACCCCATCGCTTTGGCTATCTCCCTGTGCAACGGTGTGAATGTGGCCTTGCGAAATTGCGGAGACAGTTCGTGTAGGTAATGTCCTATCTTGTTTATGGCCCGGTGCTTTGCCTTCGTCAATTCCCCAGTGGTGGAGAATGCGTCTTCTTCAAAGAAAAAGCGTACTTTGTCACCGCTAGTGAGGAAGTAGTCGTCGCCAACGTGTGAGTCTTTTTCGCCGGTGGAAAACTTGGTCATGGGATGGTCGGTAAGGGAGAAAGAGGAGAGCATGTGGTTTGTTTCGGAAAGAAGAGCGGAGACAGTGGTGGGAGAAAGGGCGTTGGGGATGAGGAGATAACCATTATTCTTGTAAGAAGCGAGCTGCTCGGCGGTGAGCTTTTTTGGTATAGTCGGGCTCTCAACTGGAGGAGACACGCGTGATCGTGCCATCCGGAACTACTGGTCTCTATTGTCGATGCAGTTGGAGCGTCGAAGCCTATGTTGCTTGCGAGCTTGCCCCTCCGCCTGCCAGCGGGAAGGCCCCGCTCCGCCTCAACCTCGGCTCCGAAGCGAGCGTTTCAAGACTTGGGTTTCTTCCCGTCGGTCTCTACCCTCTCTCAACCGTCATTCTCTGCGCTCTTTTCAGTATGAGAATTGCACAGGAGGTCCACAACCTAAGTGAGGTGCCCCTTAATTACAAGATGTTCCGATAAAGGACTTTCGGAGCATGACCGAGGACCTTGAGAGCGGCGGTGACGCTGCTGTTAGCAGTCACCGGACGGCCAGCCAAGATGTCGAAGAAACCATGAATGAGTTGTCATTCCGGGCTGTTGACCCTGTGAATGTACACGTCAAGGATCTCAATGTCGACGTTGATGTATCTCCGGGTGGGCTTTCTGCCTTCACTGCTTCACTCGGTCGAAAGAACAGCACCCGAGAACCAGAGGTCAAAGCGATCCTCAGAGGTGTCAATGCTTACATGCCAAGTGGTAGTCTGACAGCCATTATAGGCTCTTCTGGCAGCGGTAAGACTTCAGTGTTGAACACCTTGTCAAAACGAATCGCAATAGGAAGACTTAGGACTTCCGGAGATATCACTTACAATGGCAGCTCTCAGCTTTGGAGTGTTCGCAGCGCCTATGTCATGCAACAGGATGTGCTACTTGCAACCCTGACTGTGAGAGAGACGCTACGCTATGCTGCCGAGTTGCGGCTCCCGCCCCCTACGACCACAGAAGAACGAGAAAAAGTTGTGGAGAATGTGATCTTGGAGCTCGGTTTGAAGGATTGTGCGGATACAAGGATCGGAAACAACGTCCATAAAGGGTGCTCAGGAGGCGAAAAGAGGAGGACTTCACTTGCTGTTCAAATGCTGTCGAATCCCTCCGTATTGTTCTGTGACGAAGTCACAACAGGTCTAGATGCTGCAACAGCATTCCAACTCGTGGCCACTCTAAAGGCTCTGGCGGTCAAAGGACGGACGATCATATGCTCGATTCACCAGGTACGTACATTTCCGAGCACGATCCTTCCCATTTGGTATTGAAATCGAGTCGCAAGACATGTTCCAAGAGCAAGCGGACCTTTTTGCTCCGAGACTTGTCTCGCAACTCCATTACCTACCTCGTACAAGCAATGCTGACTCCGAAATCTGCGCAGCCTAGATCCGAAATCTGGAAGCTCTTTGACCATGTTCTGTTGCTAGCGAAGGGTTCACCCCTTTACAGTGGACAATCATCAAGGTGCCTAGCCTATTTTGAAAGCCATGGTCATGTTCTGCCACCTTTTGTCAACCCCGCGGAATTCTTGATCGATTTGGCTGCAATTGACACACGTTCTCCCGAGGCCGAGGAGTCATCTGCCACACGCGTTCAGGGCCTAATACAGGCTTTTGAGACATCACCGGAGAATACCGGGCTTCAAATCGTGCAAAAGGAAACGTCGATTGGTCCAGTTGGGTCGATCGAGGGAAGATCCAGGCAACACCATGCTACACTACGCCATCAGATCAGAGTGTTAACCGGACGCACATTGAAAACAACCTACCGCGACCCACTGGGTATCGCCGGAAGCATGCTAGAAGCTACTAGTATGGCTGTAATCACTGGCTGGATATTCTTGCAATTGGATGGTAGCCTGTCAGGTATTCGCAGCCGAGAAGGTTCGTACATTCTGGAGTAATTCCTTCCCTTTTCATGCCGAATCCTGAAAATGCAAGACATGTTTCCGGAACAGAAGGCTCTTTATACTCCCGAGACTTGTCTTGCGAGTCTGGTTTTCGCCTTTGAAACCCAACGCTGACTCCGGGATGTGCGCAGGTGCTTTGTACACAGCCGCTTCTCTTCAGGGCTATCTCATTCTCTTGTTCGAGTGTTACCGCCTGACCGTTGACATTCAGCTTTTCGATCGTGAGTATGGAGAGGGTGTGGTTAGTGTGCCATCATTTCTGATCAGTCGGCGTCTGGCTCGCGTTTTCGTGGAAGACGTGCCTGTTCCCCTGATCTTCTCCGTCATATTCTACTTCATGACTGGCTTCCGGCCACTTGCAAGTCAGTTCTTTGTCTTCTTCGGTGTGACGCTGCTCAGTCAATATATCGCTGTCAATTATGCCACTCTATGCGTCGCTGTCTCAAGAAATTTTGCTGGTGCTACTCTCATTGCCAACATGGGCTTCACGCTACAGTCGCTGGGCTGCGGTTATTTTGTACAGGCGAACCAGATTCCAATCTGGGTCAGATGGCTCAAAGTAAGGCACGAGACTCCTAACGTGGTTCTGCTTTGCTGACCACGCTCACAGTGGGCCGCATACGTCTTTTACTCCAACGGTGCTTTGGCAGCCAATGAGTTCGTGGGTCATACCTCAGACCCTTTAGGTCAGCTCTATGACTGTCCGTTCGCTGGCGGCACCGCAAATCCTGCTTGCAAAGAGTACACTGGACTGTACATCATGCAGTCTCTAGGGTTTCCCCCCAAGTGGATCGTGAGGCCCATCGTCGTTCTTCTTGCCTTCGCAATTGCCTTTTACCTCGGAGCCGGTCTGATCTTGCGGTACTGGAAAGTTGGGATTGGCATCTCGAGAGCTCAAAAGAACGACACCGACTACTCTTCTGGCAAGGAGAAGATGACATCTCGTTCGCTGGATGATGTCAGAACCATCATCATCACGTTGGATAAATACACTCTGAACATCCGAAAGCGTAACACGCGGTTGAGAAAGGTTCCCACGCTTTCAATTCTTAAGCCTCTAACTGTCACTTTTGAGCCTGGCGTGCTCAATGTAATTATGGGACCTTCAGGGTCTGGCAAGACTTCTTTGCTCAATCTCATGGCTCGACGCCTGCACAGTTCGATGGTGACAAGATATGAGACCCGTGGTGAGATGTTTTTCAATGGCGCAATCCCGTCCGAAAAGGTCATTCGTTCAATTTGCTCGTACGTCTGTCAAGATGACGACGCGCTTCTCCCCTACCTGACGGTGCGAGAGAATCTGCACTTTGCCGCGGGCCTGCGTCTGCCAGCCCATCTCTCGAAGGACGAGAAGCAGCAACGAGCACAATCTGTTCTTCTAAAGATGGGTCTACGCGACTGCGCAGACAATCTGGTTGGCAGTGATGTGGTTAAAGGCATCAGTGGAGGGGAGAAACGCCGAGTCACTATTGCCATTCAAATCCTGACAGATCCTCGCATCCTGTTCTTGGATGAACCAACGAGCGGGCTGGATGCCTTCACTGCATCTTCCATCATCGAGGTCCTGCGAGGCCTGGCCGAGGAAGGAAGGACCCTTGTTCTCACCGTTCACCAATCTCGAAGTGATTTGTTCCAGTACTTCCGTAACGTCCTCCTCCTAGCCCGTGGAGGGCATTCCGTGTACGCCGGCAAGGGATCGTCGATGCTCTCACACTTCGCCTCTCTGGGCTTCAACTGTCCCACAACCACCAATCCAGCTGATTTTGCCCTGGATCTGATAACGGTCAATTTGCAAAGCGCAACAAAAGAAGCTACGAGTCGGGAGAAGGTCAAGTCACTAATCCTCGAATGGGATAACTCGAAAGAACCTCTGAATCAAACAGTCTCGCACATCGCAACACCCGCCGAACTCGGATCTCTAGCCCGCAGCATGACACCGTTCCGTATCGCCTTCCCTATCCTTCTTCACCGCAGCTTTATAAACTTCCGCCGCAATCCACCTTCGATCGTTGCCCGAACTACGCAAGTGTTAGGCTACGCAATCTGCCTGACCCTTTTCTTCGCCCCACTACAAAGCGACTACTACAGCGTCCAGTCCCGCCTCGGCTTCATCCAAGAATTCGCACCTCTCTATTTCGTTGGCATGCTTCAAAATGTGGCCGTCTACCCAGATGAAAAGGCAGTCTTCTACCGCGAACACGATGATAACGCTTACTCGGTCGAAGCTTTTTTCCTGCAATACACATTAGCTGAAGTTCCTTTCGAGATCTTCACATCTCTCCTATTTGCCATTCTCACAGTACTTGCCGCAGGCCTCCATCGTACCGTTTCCCTCTTCTTCATCGTCGCCTTCAATGCCTTTGCAATCGTCAACTGCGGAGAGAGTGTTGGCATTATCTTCAACACCCTCTTTAACCATACCGGCTTTGCGGTAAATGTCACATCAGTTGTTCTCTCCATCGCGCAGATAATGGGGGGAGTAATGAGTTTACACGTACCTTCCTTCCTTCAAGCCTTCAACCATCTCAGTCCTATAAAATGGGCAATAGGGAATCTGGCGCCTTACACACTTGCCGGTGTACAATTCTCGTGCACGGAAGATCAGCGCTTGCCCAATGGCCAGTGTCCGATAACAGATGGGGAGGACGTGCTGAATCTGTATAATCTGAACGGCAACGCGGGGCTGAATCTTTTGGCGGTTGGGATTTGCGTGGTCGTGTACCGAATATTGGCTTTTCTGATCTTGAAAGCAAAGAGGACAAGGTGGGCTTGGCGGGAGAGGCTAGGGAGAGGACGGCGCCATAGTGAGAAGGAAGATGTTGGAAGGGTGGTGGAGACCGCGGCATAAGGGTCGTCTGATAGGCATAGCGACGGCGTCTTGATATAGACAGCCATGAGATAGAGGAAACAAATAAGCTGTAAGATCTGATTGAGATGTGTATAAAACATATGCAGTTCATCATACGTACCTACATACGTCTATATTTTTGGTTTTTTTGGGTTTTTTTCTTTTCTCTACGTGCATAAAGTCTATCCAGAGTGGTGTCTTACCCTGTTTGGCTTGTTTTTCGTAAGCGCGATTTTTATGTAAGATAGAATAGGTAGGCGTATATGACCAACTTCGTTCCTTAAAACGAGGTTCTACTTAGCATTGCATCGCATCAATAGCGGTAGACTACATTTGGTAAGATAGACGGAGCTAATGCGGCTCAGCGGTCATCATAAGATTGAGGCTATGCCTCAGCCTCCTTCTGTCTTCCTTTCTTCTCACCTTAAGAACAGACTTGCATCACCTTCATAGCATCGCCCGTCTACACACTTGTTTCATGTCGCATCCTCCCGTGAGGCACAAGTACCACTATTTCCACCACATCTTGGAACCCCGGAACCACATAGATGATAGTGGGGGCCAATGAAAGGTACAGATGCCTATCATGTTGGTTGAACAGCGTACTCGATACCGTTCCCTATTCAGCACCAGATCTTTCCCTACACTCCAGGCAGACTTTACAACCGATGTGAGAGGGATATGTACGCCTGCACTCAAGGAAAGACTCCCACCAGCGCTTTGCCAGCATCCAGTATGCCGATGTGAAAAGCAAAGAGGTAGGCTCGAGTTGGCTTCTGTTATACCAACAGACTGCAATGCATTTGTCATCCGTGTTTCGCGCGAAGGATCTGCCCAGACGAATGGAACAGATTCAGGCCACTCTACTCTCGCTTGTACTCCTTTGGACTGCTAGGCGCAGCGACCCAGATGCAACTGGTCTCACAATATCTATGCTTCTGCAAACATCTTTACGCCACACGATCGCATACGGGTGCAACGAAAGAAGCTGTTGCCTCTGGCTCCTAGCCAGCAAAGACTTTCCCGGGCCTTCGGCAGGCTTTGGAGACCTTGATCTCTTGAAACATGATGTGGGCCGTCTTTGCTCCTTGCTCTAGACTGCGACTTCTGCTAGCCTGTTCATTGTCTAGAAGAATGTTATCGATCTAAAAGATATGCGTTGATCCTACACATTGTAGTACCCGAAGGCACAGACTTGTGAAGTTTCGCATCTCTTCTTAGTGCAGAGGATGCTTTCAATGTTGTATTTATGCCTTACTTGAACCTCTTACTGCGGACAGCACTCGCGGTTCCTTATATCCAGGATCCCGTCTGGCCCTCGACAGCAACTGTTGTTTCCCAGCTCAGCAAAAGTCTCATGGTTATTGGATTCTCGAACCCGACTGCGATTACGTCGGTCGACTAGAATTTCACGATAATGACGGGAGATATCTCACTCGGGTTCACTGTGTGCATCCTCGCATCGCTATGTACACTCATCAGTCCTGCATCCCTTGAAAAAAGACCGGCTGGGCACCTTCCCGATGCGCCTCAATTCCAACCACGAGATGTGCTTAAATCCGTCGTCCAAATAAATCCTCCTTTTTATGATACAGAATGTCAAGTTGGAGGCTGCACCTTCTCCTACGAGGCAAGTAGCACGACATTATCAAGTTCGCACCACGGCTAATGAGTGTAGTCGGTGTCTCTTTTCTACTGGCCCAGCGTGGCACCGACGAATACGGCTTGCCTTGCCACACTTGCCAGCCCTCCAGTTGTAACACCTCCCGCTGGATTGTCGATGTATGCTGCTCTTGTCTCTAATGATTGCGAACGTCAACTAAAGCTACTGCCACAGGCAATCTCCCAGCGTCTACGTGATTTTCACCTCGTTCTATCTCTACGACGGTTGTGGAACCAAACTCCTCCAGGCCAGCTTCGATCTGACCACGTCCTTCGCATCCGGTGAATTATCAACGGTAGCGACAGCGCCCGGCGGCGGCCTTTCCACCGACGCCTTCGACTTCGACGATCTGCCATGCCCTCCACCTGGAGTCCAGGTCGAAGCCGGACAGCCGTACCGTCCCCTGCTCGCTCCGCCAGCCTTCGTCACCGCGATCCCGGGTTGGAACCCCAACTTCGACAACTGTGACCCCGGCCACGGAATCGACCCCCCGACCGCGCTCACCTCCGCCCTCGGCGGCCTCCCCGGGCCAGGCTTTCCGGGCATGCCGCTGCCTCCGCGAGATGTCAGGGCGTACGCACATCCTCACATGGCGCCTCGGGCTCCGACGAAAACGGCTGGGCCAGCGTAGGGGGTTTAGGGATATGCAACCCGCGTTATTGGAGGATTTTTTACGGGTGGGCAAAGGGTTTGGGGGGGGGGGGGCTTTCGTCAAGTTTATGCACCCTGAGGCTATGACAGACAAGCGCATCCGTAAATTAATACAAGCACAAACGATGTAACCTTGCGAAGGACGTGAGGATCTACCCCCCCGGGCAAAAAATCCACACCCTTTCCTTATTCCCTCCGCTATCACCCCGATAGAAATTACATCCTCGCGAGCACCTTTCGGGGATCCGCCTGTACCGTGCAGGCTGGACTCTCTCATCCTCGGAAACCTCGGGTCTTTTTAAACAGTATAATGACGCTCGAGGCTCATGAAAAATTGCTACGAGATGAACCGATAGCTATCGGAAAGCTGACTCTGTATGGACGTGGAAATCGACGCGTTATGTACTTTGGATATGGTGTAGACGCTGACTTTCTGCGACGAAAGGTTTGCCGTGGATGAAAGGAATTGACGTTGTAGTTGTTTCGGGGCTGTTGTGCTCGGTTGGGATGGTGCGTGGTGGGTGTAAAGGCTATCATTTCCCATCTTTTTTTCCCCGTTTGGTTTCATGGCGGCTCGAGGCTATGGTCGCGGTACTTGAGTGTAAGTGAAACGACTCGGCCCTGATTCTTGTACTAGCTATAAAGTCTTGCTCGCTATTGATCATACCTGCCGCCAAGACCCTACCTACTTGCTCCCCTGGTGCCCCTGCTTGCTTGCCTCGGCAATCCACAACAATGGCCTCGACGAATTTTGACAGTCCGGGGACACCCTGTTCTCAACGACTGAGTCGTTCCTTTTCTCCAATCAGTTGGTTCCTGCGTCTTGTTCGACCTCCCATCATGACCCGTGGCTCCCCGTGAGGCCTGGGTCCGTAGTCATGGTACCGGTCCGGTACGGATTGACTTCCGGGGCAGATGCGGCGGTACCGGGTTTGCTGTACGCTACCAAGAGTAGGGGAAAGACTGGTGATATCGTTGCCTTTCCGTCATTTAAGTAGAGGCAAGAATATCGGAAATCGAAAATCGAGGGAGTTAACGCTATGCAGGAAATTGGAAGTGGGCAAACCATTCGCGTCAGTGTAGGAATCGTCCGCGCTCTGAAAAATCTGCTGATTGTTCTCCGGGAACCTGTATTTCGTCTGGCAAACTGGGCGTGTCGTACCCTGATTTGTGGTCAATTGGGGACATGGCGTGGAGGAGGGAAGAAGTGGTGCCGTTGGGTATTTTGGATCGGCCGGGAGATTTCGTGCGCGCACATGGGATTGGTTTGCTCTGTGAGAGATGTTGCTCTGTCGATGCAATCTTTGTTCAGGGAAGTTGGGAGGGGATGGTCATTGCGATTCTGATTCTTTCTTTGGTTGGTGGTCTCGTTGGATAGATTCGAGATTCACGAACGTCACTGTAGTGGAGAGATTGGCGAATAGGGAGACAATGCTTGGTGTGGACGGAAAGACGGTTGTGATGCTTTTTTTCTGGCTGTTGGGATCATAGGAAAGGCAGTGAGATTGAGGGGAAATGGATATTCTCTACCAAACGCTCTTCTGGCGCGCATGGATTATAGATGATAGATCCACCATATTTTGGGGGGGAGATAGCGGGACCAGGAATCGCAATTCCATCAACGACTCGGAAGCTACCTCTTGGCGACACGTGGCTCGATGAGGAGGTTTGTAATGGCATCAAGGGATGTTGGGATTTTTCGTTTCTCGAGGCCGCGTGGCAGGGCTCGCGCCGGCGATGGCTAACCTTACGGCACTGGTGGCACCCTTATACTTAAACCTCAGAGACCACGTTCAGCGGACATCTCTCCGAGGACCTCTTCTTTCTCTTTTTGCCAGAGGCCGTCACCGCTCAGCCATCTGGAGTTCGAGGCGCGGACGTTAAAATGGTTGAAGACCCGCCACGGACTCTGAGGAACAGCTACGATTTTTTGATAAAGCGATGACATAGTCCTTCGGAGTCGAGCAGTACGCAAACGACCAATTTCACACGTGCCTATCTTACTCCCCTCAATACTGCTTGAGTTTGCGGAGCTCCCTGCCAATCTAATGTCTGTACAGTTTTAACAAGCTGACTGATTTTTTGCTGCGTTCGAGACACTACTGCGAAAGCTCATGAGGTGGCAAAAAAAAGGTCAAAGGTATCACCCCACGCGCAGAGCTCTCGTGATCTGTGGTGGGGCCAATGCCGGGTATGCAAGCTGCGGGAAGGGCTCCAAATTTGGAAAACTTGCAGAACCCGAGCCCACGGAAAAGCAACGAGCAGCGATAGGGAATGCTAGTCTTGATACGCATGCATAAAGTCGGTTCTAGAATGAGCGGCAACGGCCAACAAGCGAGAAAATTGCTCAGCGGGGGATCACAGGATTTGAGTGGGGCGGATAGTAACACAACATGAGAATCGAAAATGTTTGCCGCCAATACCGAGACCTTGAAAAAGCGACTGTGTTTGTGAAAGATGTGGCATTCGCGGGAGCTTTCGATCCACCTATGTCCGAGAGATGGCTTCCGATCTCGAGATGGAATTACCAGCGCGGGCACCAGGGATGGATTTGGTGACCTCGTATCGGCGCATTGCCTTTCGACCAGACATCGTTGAAAATTGGACCGCATGAGACATCTCGAGCTCCTTCAGTCGAGAGCATGGACTCCACCCCAATCTGCACCCCATTACCCCAAACCCACCTGCAGCATCCGCGTCGACATTCCCCGCACGACCCGCATATGCAGGTAAATGCAGCATTAGAGACGACATGCGTCTGCAATGCACATCGCACGCAATGCATTGATAAGTTGGACCTATAATTAGAGATACAGGAAATCCAGAAAATCCGAAAAGCTTGCAGCCAATTATGACTCGTGCCATCGAATAATGCTTTGTTGTCTGGAATTAGGAATGCGCGCTGCCTATCATCCACGACCGTCGCAATGCAACTGTGTGCTCTTTCCAACGAGTACCTTTAGAGATGGATAGGTATTGGTCGCGTCAATCCAGAGCTCTCGCGTTTTCTCCGACATATTTAGCACCGTTATCAGGCTCTGGTCGCAGAACAGAAGACCACGTTGCATAGCATCTGGGTGGTGTGGTGTGATTTTGCTAGGTATGTCGCTTCTGCGATAGGTTGCAGGGCGAAGTGTAGAGACTGCTTTCAACCCTGGCTGTCTGGAAAATAATGCCTGCCTGCCACTACTGCCGCTTTACTATTCAAGCCCAATTCGAGACCCAGGGACGGCAGGACGGGGGTTCGGCATCCCATCGAATGCAGCCCTGCATGGCAGGATCGCACATGTGAGGCCATCACTTCAACTTACGCTAGAAAGAGAAAGCTGCAGGTATTACTCTATTCGGAACAATCGAGATGCGGGAGGCACAAATTGGGCCGAGAAGAGCCTCAGCAGAAACAACCTTGCAGAATGGGGAAGACATTTGTCTCAGATGGCGTGGCAAAGAAGGCTACGGGGATTATACCAACGAGTAGTGAAGTGCCGCAACCCCGATGGAGAATGCTGGTTCGGATCACTACTGTGAAGGGAAATGTGGATACTGGTGGATGAAATAAAAGGGGCATGGTGCGGGTAGATCAATTGTCTGACACTCTGACGATCCTGACGATCGCACCACATCAGCCCTGCCGCCTCCAGCATTGTCTCCCTAGTTGTAGCAGCAAGATAGTGAACGTCAGGGCTCCTTCTTGGAGACTTTGATTGGTTATGTACACATAATAAGAGTTGTCCCAAGGGTTCGAAGCACATTTGTATAATTTACTTTAAAACACCGAATTTAGCTTGTCTTGAACCGTTTCACAGAAGAGTATCTTTAAAGTAGATTATTAGATATAGTATCGAGCCGTATCCTTGTTAATAATATTAATATGGATTGTAAATTGATAGTTGTAAGCTTCAAATTATCTTAAGACGTCGAGTGAGAATGTGTAATAATGGTCCGCGGCTGAAGGCTGGAAGGTTCGCTCTAAAGGTAAGGTCACCTAGTCAGGACTTCTATGGGCGCCTTCACCACGGAATATTCAAGCCACGCAGATCTGAATTCTTTCGAAATTGCGATAGCACCATCCTAGGAGATAAGTTTGAGCTCAAAACCAGGCATCAATAGAACAGCGAAAGTGCTATTGCAGGTCGGCGTCTTGCTTACGCCAAGGAACACATGCACCGGGGTAAAGGAAAACGACGCTTCCCGGTTGGTGTTTGACTTGCGAAAGGCCGACTTGTGCCTCTTGTGCTCGACGCCGACGGTGACTCGACTGCATTCACCACTAAAGTACTATTATTATTAAGGACCGGATTCAATGCATATCAGTGGCGCTCTAGTCGCCTGGGAGGAAATTCGGAGGGAAGAGAGTCAAAGGATGCAGGATATTTGTAGCGACGCTATCGATTGTCGCAGAATGAACAAGGGTGTCTGCAGGAAATGATGCAAAAGTCAGACTTTTTGCATGAGATTCCCTGGTCTGTAGCCGAGCGGGATATGCAACCTTATCAGCTAGTGATCCAAATTTAGACCGCTACCAGCGTTGACGGTATTGGTGTTCCTGCATGCCCAGCGTTACCTAACCTTACTTTGCTTGAAGCTACCACTCTTTTCTGTTTTTCTTTTTTTCTTTTTTTCTTTTTCCCTTTTTCTTTTTTTCTTTTGGCCCCAACTTTTCCTACTACCACCCCGCCTGTCTCAATTCTCGGCGGAAAACGGGCTTTCCCAACTTCACTTCCGTCACGGCTTTTCTTCTAGTGCTCGCTTATTATTATACACACCTCCCTAATCAAATCCGTACTGAGAGGATTTTGGGGCGGACGTGTCTCCGATGACTCGATGACGTTGGACTTCTTGTGTAAGATGAGCTTTAGCCCGAATAGAATGTAAACTTCATGCTGCTACCGTTTGAAAGCATCAAGATTGAGCGGAAAAATGTTGGTGGGAGATCGAAAAGGGTAAGAGTAGCGCCAAGGTGCGCCACTGCATGCCCGTTATGGATCTGGCAAGTTTGACGCTAGTACTGCCAACGACATCCCTTTGGTCCCCTTGAGTCTCTACATCCGACAAGCTTCTCCTATTATGTATAGACGAAATGCAACTTCCGACAGCTGCCAAGTGCATTAAAGTGGGTCCCGAATGCTGGAAAAGCTAGCAAAAGAAGAGGTGCATGCTTAGTCCAGAGAATGGACGTGTTTTGCGACTACTGAACAACGATTACCGGTATCCAGCTTCACCAACGCCCAGATCCTGCAGCCCCTTGCCTTACCCTGAGATACGCCACCCGCGGGTAACCAGCTTGGCTACAGCGTGGGCACTGGGCAGACTTGATATCGATAGGATAGTTTCTCTAACCGACGCATGCCCGGGCATACCACAGCAGTCGTGACAATTAATTCGGAAGCTCATTTCGAAATCATCTGGTCGAGAAAGCCTCAGCATTTCTGCGAGAGTGAGCCTTCCAGAAGTGGAAGATTCACAGCCATTAGGAGACAGGTTATCGTCTGTCTATCTTCATGCACTACATGTGGCTTGCACTGCTCGTATTCATGCAGCCATCCTGGTTCTGGACGAGTCGATTCTGCATCTCATCGGGTTCGGAGTTATTAGCCTATCTTCTAAGCGCGCCTTGATGCTGAATTCACGTGCATCTGAAAATATACCCTAACTAGGCCCTGCTTTCATTGGGGATCTTCTATACACAAGAGCCGCTTTAGGAGTTAGCTTGAAACCATTCATGTCCTCGAGTCCGGATTGGGATGGTGCTCAAATGTGCTGGAGGCCTGGGCACCAGCACCACCTCCGGCGAGACCGGGTCGTGCCTGGTGCCAGGCTGTCCAGCTTATCGTTACGGAAATTCTTCGTCTGATTTCTTATTTCCCTTGCTCGCTCCTCTTCATAAACCTGTCCTGTCCCCTCCATCACAGTTTTCTCCTCTCGAGGATTTCCAATTTTTCAAGACTTGCTCCCACTCGTTTGAGCAGGCCTTGATACAGTTACCCCCACACTCGCTCCCCCTTCTTTCTACGACTCTTTTCATTCCTGAGTATTAATTCAATCAATAGCTCACTCCTGATAAAACGACATCATGTTCAAGTCCGTCAAGAACTACATCAAGCCTGGGAAGGAGGCTCCTTCCAAAGGCAACGATGTCTTGCCGACAGCCACTTCCACCCCGGCGCCCAGATCCTACGCGACAACTCCTCATACCAGCCGTCCACCTACCGGTGGTTACGGTCGAGCAAGCGGTGCCACGAGTTTCAGCGACATGGGTCTGATGAGCGCTACAGTCAACCTGATGCGTATGACACAGATTCAACAGAGGTACATGTGGTGCTTGCCTCACCCTCCACCTGGAGAGGGGTGTGTGTACAAAGTAAAGCCTGGAGAGTTCATAACACATCCAGAGTCGCTGAGACAGAACAACGACCCATTCTTCGAAGCCGCGGCGGAGCTCAACTCAAGGGTTAGTTCACACCCGAGCACGGACCACAGACTTTCCAAACAAGCTAACAACTGCTTTAGGTGATGATTAGTATCAAAGACCGTGTCGTTACCGTTCTGCTGAACCAGCCGGACCTCCTTTACATCCCCATCCAGGACAACCTACGTCTACAGATAGTACCAGACGTGGAGTACATTCCTAGGTGCCAGCGAAGTCAGGGTGCTGCTTTCTGTAAAAACCAGGACATGTTGGTCGTTTGGGGCGACAGTGTCGATGCCACCGAACAACGCGCGGACAAGTATCTGAAGCAGATGGTCGAAGTCTTCTCCCAAGGCTTCGGCACTTATAATGAGAAAGAGAAGGATAGCGTCATGGTCAAGGAAATGCCCATGGATGGCTCCGAGGATGCTTATTCCGGCGACGTGGACCCCGAAGACAATTTTCAAGAGCCTCGTCGCAAGATTGTTCTGATACAAGCTGTCTTGACTGGCATGACCCTTCTCCTGATCGTCGCCGCCATCGGTTCTGGATTTCGCCAGATCGCGATCGAGATTGGCATTGATCACAGTTACATTCGCCTTGCCTTCGTCATCGCAGTCCCGTTTCAGATGTGGCTCGCCTTGGTAAGCCGCCGTTTTCAAGTAACCCTCATCTTTTTCTTTGCTGACAAAGTTTCGGACAGTTCTTTATGCAATCCATCGCAGGTATGGTCGCTCAGATGATTGGTCCCACTCAACAGATGAGGCAGAACTCGAAGTTCTACTCTGGCATCAAACCAAGACCGATCTCACGCAACGTTCTTCCCCACATGACGATCCAATGCCCTGTGTACAAGGAAAGTCTCGAAGAGACCATCATTCCAACCATGGAGTCTGTTATGGCCGCTATTCGAACTTATGAGATGCAGGGAGGCACTGCCAACATTTTTGTTAACGAAGACGGAATGCAGGTCATCTCCCAAGATGAGGCAGAACAGCGCAGGATCTACTACGACGAGCAAAGGATCGGCTGGTGCTCGCGCCCAAAACAAAGGACACCCCCCAAGGCAGGAGGCAAGTTATTCGGCAAAACCGAAAAGGCTCCCGAGTTGGAGCCGGGCCAACAGTACTACGTTCGTGCTGGAAAATTCAAGAAGGCTTCCAACATGAACTATTCAATGGCTGTCAGTGTTCGCATTGAAGACAAGCTTGCCCTGGTCAACCGACATGCGGAGTGGACCCAAGAAGACGAGAACAGGGAATATCAAAGATGTCTAGATGAGGTCATCTACGAGGACGAAGGAAGGACCCAGGCCGGAGGCAATCTCCGTATTGGAGAATACATTTTGATCATCGATTCTGACACTCGTGTCCCTAACGACTGTTTCCTCGACGCCGTAAGCGAAATGGAACAATCGCCTGAAGTGGCCATCATCCAATTCTCCTCCGGTGTCACCAATGTCTCAGACAGCTTCTTCGAAAACGGTATCACCTTCTTCACCAATCTTATCTATACCGCTATCAAGTATGCTGTAGCCAACGGTGATGTTGCACCCTTCGTTGGGCACAACGCCGTTTTGCGCTGGGCAGCTCTCCAGGAGATCTCGTACGAGAAAGACGGTCAGGAGATGTACTGGTCTGAGAACACTGTTTCCGAAGATTTCGACATGGCTCTCCGGTTACAAATTGCAGGATACATTGTTCGCTTCGCTTCTTACACCATGGATGGCTTCAAAGAAGGTGTCTCACTGACCGTTTACGATGAACTGGCTCGATGGGAGAAGTACGCCTACGGATGCAGCGAGTTGATCTTCCACCCCTTCAAGCAATGGTTCACCAAAGGTCCCTTCACGCCTCTGTTCAAAAACTTCATGCGTTCGCCCATGGCATTGCCTTCCAAAATCACCATCATGGCCTACATCGGTACCTACTACGCCATTGGATCAGCCTGGATCCTGACGCTCGCCAATTACATCCTCATTGGATGGTACAACGGCCACCTGGACCACTACTACATCGATTCCTTCAAGATCTACGTTTCCATCATTGTTGTCTTCAATGGTGTTGGCAACCTCGCTTTGGCAGTTCTACGAGTCAGAAACAACGAGCAAGATCTCTTGCCCGCTCTGATCAACAATTTCAAATGGGTCTTCCTGCTGACGATCTTTCTCGGCGGTATCTCTCTCCACGTCAGCCAAGCCATTCTTTGCCATCTGTTCGGGATCAACATCGAATGGGGCGCTACCGCCAAAGAAATCGAAGACATCCCTTTCGGTGAGGAGATCAAGAAAGTGTTCAGGAGGTTCTGGAGGATGTGGCTGTTCTGCATCGTTGTCGCTGCTGGCATGGCTTACCTCTCCCTTGGGGCACCAGCTCTATGGCGGATCAGGATCTTCACCCCAATCTGGCCGCTCTCGACTGTCATCTTTGCCCATTTCGTCTTGCCGATCGTGCTCAACCCTGGTTTGATGCGCTTCAAATGGTAGAATGGAAAAGGGAACACAGGTCTGGCGTTCGGGCGTGCATGAATTTTTATCCACATCGTTTTGCAAGCATCTTGGTGCTTTTTTTTCGGACACGCTCGCTCATGGATATCCCGTTGCTGTTGGCGTTGTGGGCTTCCTCGTTGGTGACGAAAGCAACATGTCAGCTATCGATGAACATAGAGTTATAGAGTATTATGGTTCGTAATATCTAATCCAAAGAAGCATGAGACTTCGACTTCATCTCCACCGTTTCCTGCCTCGAAACCATTGCCCGATGCCACAATCAGCGCGACATCAACTCCGCGTGACAGGCAAGCTGTTATAAGTAGTGACCGTCTCAAGGCTTGACCCAATTTTTGGGTACCAAGCCGAGAGTATCTGCTGTCGTTACATGGCTTTAGCTCAGACAGGGTCTTGAGCCAAAGGAAATCTGCTCCCGTCATCGCAAGTCTCGATATTTTTGGGACTCGCGCCGCCGGAATTGCTGCGACTCTGCATAGCAGCCGGGAGATCTTCGGTCGAGCATCTAGCGAGTATTTACAATCACGTTCTTTACTTCAGACCTTTGCGCGCCGAACACTACGTGAAGATTGATTTCAGAGAATGCGCATATGGGTGATGAGAAAGCCCAGCGCCTTGATGACGCGTTGTCGTCTCTCGTGGATATATTAGTCCCCACCCTACCGGACGAAGATGAAGCTGCGGCAGACGAAAGACACGACGATGCCTTGGAGCTGGCTAGGAATATCATTGACAAGTGCGTTACCCGCGAATGACCGCACAAATATTGACTGACTTTTCCTTTGTAGCCAGGGCAGCCCTGCGGTAGTCTCAGACGTCAATCATGCCGCTGAGCTGATCAGGAAGAAGTGTAAGCTCTTCCCCTCCAGTGCCCCGCCTTGACACAAGCAGGCTGACCCATTTTGAAGTACGCCGCGACAACAACTCTCCGGACAAAGAAGTTCAGTTTTCGAATCTCTATGCTCGGCTCCTCACACAGCCGGTGTTGTCGCAGAAATGGTCAATACTATACCTTTTACATCAATTGGCAGATTCAGATCCAGATGGTGGAGGGCCCACTTTGGACGACCTGCGTCCCAAAAGTCGGGACACGGGGATGGGAAGGCATGATGATGGTCAGGATCAGCAGGTGTACGAGGATGCGTTTGCGACGGCTGGGCTTCCGAGGCTGCCGCCACCATTGCGTGAGAGCGGGTCAACAAGCAGGTCGAATAATGCGGGACCTGCTGAGCGGAGGGGCTACCAGAGGCCGAGCCGGAAGACTGAGAAGGTTGAAGAAAGCGGTCCCGAGATAGAAAAAAGCCACTCGATGGGCCCATCCGAGTCTGCTCTACTGCGCGACCTCCCTTACACCCTCCAAGGCTTATCGTCTACCAATCTGCCCTTTACGTCTTTGACCACTCTCGATCTCCCACGAAATCTACCGATACCAATCATATCCCTTCTACATACTTTGGCCGAACCGTCGTTACTATACCGAAGTCTCTCAGACTTCGTAGATTCACGAGACGAAGGGCTGATAGGCCAGAGCTTGCGGTCTGCAATTGGCAAAGAACTACGTTCTTATCTCGGCTTGATCTCGACATTGGAGGGCGAAATACGGCGAGCGATAATATCTCTGGACAATAATGAGCAGCAAGGCCGAGTTGGGAAAGCTGGTGTTACGCTGAAGAGATGTGTTGTTTGGACGAGAGAAGCTACGATGGGTTTACGATTGATGAGTCTTATGGTCGAAGAGGCCAAGAGCAGGAAGGGAGGCCAACTGATCTCGATGATTCATTCCTTCTCTACGCATCACGGCGATCCTTTTGTGGGCGCTTTTGCAGAGCGGATGCTTTCTCATGTGACACGACCTTTCTACGACATGCTACGACAATGGATATATGACGGAGAGCTTTCTGATCCTTATCACGAATTCTTTGTTACCGAGCAGGATGCTCATGAACAGGGGGAGGACCCTCGAAGAGCTCCTGCGACTAGTGTGTGGGAAGAGAAGTACAAGTTGGATGAGACGATGATACCCAGTATTGTCACGGAGGATTTTGCGAAGAAGGTCTTCCTCATAGGAAAGAGCTTGAACTTCATCCGCTACGGCTGCGGCGACTCTGCTTGGGTAGAAGCATACTGCAAAGAAGCCTCAAGAGAGCTGCGGTACGGCGATACCGCTACATTGGAAACATCGATCGATAAAGCATACAAAGCCACCATGGCCCGGCTGATATACCTCATGGACAACAAATTCCGACTTTTTGAACATCTGAACGCCTTGAAGCGATACCTCCTTCTCGGCCAAGGCGATTTCATCGCTCTCCTCATGGAGTCCCTTTCAACAAACCTTGACAGGCCAGCCGGCTCTCAATACCGCCACACCCTCACAGCTCAACTAGAACACGCGATCCGGGGCTCCAACGCCCAATTCGACTCCCCGGACATCCTCCGCCGCCTCGACGCCCGCCTTACAGAAATGGAAAAGGGAGACACAGGCTGGGACGTCTTTACTCTCGAATACAAAGTCGACGCCCCAGTAGACGTTATCATAACTCCCTGGGCGAACCGGCAGTATCTCAAAATATTCAATCTCCTTTGGCGCGTCAAACGAGTCGAATTCGCACTTGGCAGCACTTGGCGACGCTGCATGACGGGCGCTCGTGGCGTCCTGGCAGTCGTTGATGCGAAGATGAGCAGAGATTGGAAAACAGCAAGATGTTGTATAGCAGAGATGATCCATTTCGTTAATCAGCTGCAGTACTACATCCTCTTTGAAGTCATCGAAGCATCTTGGGACCAATTGCACGCAGCAATCCACAAACAAGATTGCACACTCGACGATCTAATAGAAGCACATACTAGATACTTGAAAGCCATCACGCACAAAGGTCTCCTCGGCTCAGTCCGTCACAACAGCGTCACCGGCCACCGCGAAGACGTCTTCACGGCCCAATTACACGAACTACTGAAAATCATGCTGGCGTATAAAGACGCAGTAGATGGCCTCTACTCCTTCTCCGTCGCCGAATTCACCCGCCGGCAGGAACTGGCCGCGAAGATCGAAACGCGGACCGCGCAGGGCAAATGGGGCCTGACCGAAAAAGACGACGAGGAGCTCGCCTCGCCCATCACAGCCAACAGAGCAGCACAGCAAGCGGACCGTGCCGACTCCCCCTTCCCCGTCGCCGCCCTCGGCCTCACAGGAAGCGGCGGAGACGACGCCATGCTGCCTGCCCTTCGCAAGCGCTTGCAGGATCTGAGTGCGGATTTCAAGACGAGGGTCAGCAACCTGCTGGGGGATCTGCTGGTGCAGCCGGACGTGGACATGAAGTTCTTGGCCGTGGTGATGAATTTCAACGACGTTTACACGCCGCGGAAGAGGAGGAGGGAGGGGCACAGGGGGGAGAAGAAGACGCCGGGGCAGGGGGAGGCGGGGAGGCGGGAGAATGCGGAGGAGAAGGGCAAGGGCAAAGAGGGTGGAGGATCTTTCGGTGCGGCGGCGAAGGGGGCGGAGAAGGGGACGAGGGTGCCTGCGAAGTAGTCGAGGCCGGGGGGGTATTATGCCTGGACGCAATCGTCAGCGTTACCCGTGGCTCTGGAAGCTTAGGGTCTGCATTCGGCAGTGCCATGTCATGCCTCATGGACGGGTGTGTAAATCTGATATGGGACCACTTCTTGTCACACGATCTTTTCCCAAATGTATGCACCGAGCTGTGCGGCCCTTGCTCTTCCACCGGTCACGACGCACACCCGGACCCGTTTCAGTCCGAATCCGAGTCTCCGCTCGAGCTCGTGCCAGAGCCGGATCCTGAACTTGACGCTTCAACGTCCCTGGACTCCTCAGCGCCAGTCTTCTTCTTCTTCAACAACGACTCCGTCTTCTGCTCCTTCTCTTCCTCGTCACTGCCCTCACTGCTGCTGCTGCTGCTCTCGCTGCTGCTTTCGTCATCATCCGGCACCCCCGTCCTCCTCTTGTGCTTGCGCTTTCTTTTTGGCTTCATGCCATGGGCACCATTGCCGCAATCGGGCGTCTGAACCCCATGGACTCCGCCGGCTCCATCAGCCCGTCCGACACCATTTGCACCGCCAAATTCATTCACCCTGTCCGTCCCAGCAGCCTGCGCAGCCCCATCCTCGCCAAAAACCACCTTCTTCCCCCGGCTAGCCCGCGCGATGCCTCCTGAATCAATCACTTCGACCCCACCCATCCCCATTCCGACTCCTCTTCCCACTCTTGGTGCAGGTCCGGGATCCCGTGCGGCCTTCGCGAGTTGCTCAAATCCAGAGTTTGTTTGACGTCCACCGTTGCCTCCAGAAGTATTCTGCTGCGTTACTGCAACACTTTCATTCTCTGCAGCTTCTTCCTCCCTTCCGACATTCCACAAAACGATCTCCGCCCTCCTTCTCTTGCGGATTCGCTCCTCCCAGTCTTCTTTGTCGCCTAAGAGTTCCCAGTCGCGCTCTTCGCGCTCTTCTTCTTTTTCTTTCAATGTCTGTTTGATTCTAGCAACCGCGGCTTCATAATCACGACGACGGCGCGCGTTGCATTGCGCAACCGTCTCGTTATCCATCCTTTCGGTTTCCGAAGGCTCAGATGCTAGCCACTTCTCGTCCTCTCCACAGATTGCGAGCGCTTCTTTTCGGATTCGTGAGCGCGCTGTGGTGCCTTTGAGGCCGCCGATGTAGGGGAGGAGGGCGGAGTCGTAATATGAAGGGATATGTGTGAGGGAGAAGAGGTGTTTGAGGATTTGATTTTGGTGAAGTTTGGAAAACTTCCAGGTTTGAGGGGATGTGTGGTGGGTGGTGAGGTAGGTGAGTACGGGATCGAAACGTGAGGGACCAGGGCCTGATGAGGTCTTGGGAAGTCTGGGTTTGGGTTTCTTTGTGGGTTTCTTTTTGTCTTTGGAGATTGATTCTGAATTTGAGGTTGAAGTGGATACGAAAGGTGAAGCCGACTCTGGTGTAGGGACAATTGAAGGTACGATTGACCTGAGCGCTGGACTGACAGTCGAAGGGTCGAATGAAGGATCGGTAGCTATCTGCTTTGCAATCCAGGCTTTGTAGAGGCCTTTGACACTGTCACCGTCTTTAGTCTTAGTGTCTGGGGTGAATGAGACGGATTTCCCTTTTGAGGCAGGAGTAGTCTTCAATGCAGGTGGAGGCGAGAGTTCCTGCTCGTGAGTACCACCAAGTTTGCCATTGATTGATAAGGCAGATACGTCCAATTTCGCTTTCGCTTTCTTGGTTTTCTTCGAGGGTCTTTCCGCGTTGGTAGGCTCATTGGAAGATTTGTAATTGCCATTGACGGTTTCTGCTGAGTTCTCGGTGCTAGGTCTTGACTTCTTGATCTTCTTCCTAAGCTTATCCTCATCTTGAGCCCCGTGAGACGTCCCATTGCCGTTGACCGCTTCTCCAGCCTCTTCTGCTCTCCATTTTGACTCTTTGAGCTTTTTGGCAGGCCTTTCCAAAGGCGCGTTCTCTACCACAGCTTCTTCTCCCGCAGGTGCCTTGCGCTTCCTGCAGTCAACAGTGCCGTTTTGGCTAGGTTGGGTGTTTTCAGGCTCCTCTTTGGCAAACTTGAGCTTCAGACCGAGCTTTTTCCACGCAGGCACGTGATTGTGGATTGGCTCAGGGATGCGAGACATGGTGGGCGTTGGAGGAGCTGCTTGCCCACGAGAGGTTTGGACATGGGATTCAGAATTTCAGTACCTCTCTACCCCGATGCTGGCGCGTTATTAATTGCAGCAAGCAGTTGTCAAAAAAATGTGCAAAGCTTCGGAGCTTGCCAACGGAACGATTCCGCCTAGGAGACACCTGGAGCCCTTGAGCCCTAATCAAATTGTTTGCTCTGAGGTTGATACCAAATATTGCACTTTCAGGAGCGGGGGCCGTCATGTAAGACATTGCAGGTATTATATCTACATAAATGAGAACCCTGCTGAGCAATTATTACCATACCAGCATCCACGTCTATCGCTGCAGCCTCATCGATGCATATGCCGCTCAAACGCCCATCATAGGTATCGCTAACGCCAAGTCATAATACTATCCCAGACGTATCTACTTGCCAATGACCCTCTCGTAGTTTTCGTGCTTGACTGCCCCTCCGCTCATTGATGTCCGCACGTTCCTCTTGAAGCCTTCCCGATTCGACCGCAGGTCCTCCGCTGCCTCTTTGTTCAAGGGATCCGAAGCGTTGGGTTCGAGGAAGAGGAACTGCAGGCCACAGCTGTTAGCCATGGTCCAATATTTTATCCCTTACCGTACTCTGTGCTCGCAGATTCCCTTGTAACCTGTCCCACCCCAGACGTAGACGTACCTGCAACCCAACAATAACAGCATTCAAGTTCAACACAGGCTTCCAGTCCTCCCTCAGGATATTCAAGCACACGTTGCCCTCCAGATCAATATTTGGATGATAAATCTTCTGCGTGCATTTCACCTTCGGCGGGTCGTGAGGGAAGTTCTGGTTGATGGCGAAGTTGAAGTGGAAGCTGCCGCCTTTGTACATTCCTTCGTCCGGCTCGATGGTCAGGGTGAAGTTCAGGATATCGTCGGGGTTGGGAAAGGAGGTTTTCATCGTGCGGCCCAGGGTGCCTTCGAGTTCTGCAAGGTCTGAGGGTAGGGGGAGGATCAGCCAGGTTGTTCCACAGAACGAGCATAAGGGCCTAATCATAGCCGTACCTTTCTGTACTCGTAGTTGAGCTGCTGTCACCTTCTTCTTCTTTGGCCCCGCTCCCTCAGCATTCGCATCCTTCTGCTGCTGTTGTTTCTGCGGTCATATGTCAGGCCGGTGCTACAGGGTATATCCTTCCCAAGGCTGGGCCGCAGCGTCCGTCTGTAGATGTAGAGACTCACCATAGACCATATTTTGAGCATCCTTGCGACTGTAGAGGTGTGTACTGTCCAGTCCGAGTCGTGGTTGAAAAAGGGAAGGCTCGAAACGCCGGTATCAGGGTTGACGAGTTGTTCAGGTTGTCGGAGGTGGGTTATAGATCAAAGGCTATAATGTGTATTTAATCGTAATCGAAGATTGTGTTGTCTAAGTCTTGGACGCTGCGAAAAGCCATCCGCCACGCGATCTGACTACTAGCTTCAAAGATGCCTACGAGAAGAGAAAATATTTCCTAACGCATTTCCTAAAATTGAAGCGTCGACACAGCTATTCGCGTGATTGCCATATCGCTTTTGATAGATATCGACGTCTGGATTTCATTACACGCAAAGTCAATTTACAGACGCCGTATTCCTCATGCAGCCAACAATAGGGCACCGCTGGTAATCCAATATGCACGCGTACCAATGCTTCGATAGTCATCAACAACGTTCTATCTACCTCCGGTTGAAACAGCACAGCAAGCCCGACTTGCCTAGGAACCAGCAGCATCCGATGAAGCGTACCACGGAGAGGGCAGCTGTGGACCAGAGCAGGGCTCGGAAGAAATTCGACGTCCTGACTGTTGAACTGTTCTGTAAGCTCTCGTCAGCAACATTCAAGCATTAAAAAAGGACGCGACATCGTACCGCGAGCCCTAGAGAAGTCAAATCGTTACTCGTAATACCAACAGCAAGTAAAGCGTTCGAGAAGATCCATGCCGTGACCAATCTTGTTCTGAAGCTCTTGTACGAATCCTCCAAGGTCTTCTTCTCGATAATCTCTGGTGGGTGGAATTCGGCCAATGCACGCTTGACCGTTATCTCGAATTGGCTATCGATATCCGCTTGAGGTTTGTCGGGCTCTTCGATAATGGCGGCTTTACCGTCTCCTGTCTTTGTGGTTTGAGCTGATGGGAGAACGTCGGCCTTATCAGAACCTTTGGTTCCCCACGACACGTCATGCCAATTGCTGAAGGCGTAGACATTGAGGATGTTGATGTAGGACGACATGAGGCAAAGATACTGTGGGAATGAGGTGATCATGTGCCACGGATCCAGGTACATGAAGGAAGCCACAAAGTACAAACCAAAGGTAGCTGCCAAAGCAATAAGGATGATGCCTGAACTCGACGAGGAAAAGAAAGTCTTGAAGAACTCATCAAGACCATTGTGTGTCTCGATTTCCGTTTCGTTGTTACCAGAGAGAGCTCGGACCACCAAATACATTGACAGTATCACAATATAGACCTGGATGATACCGAAGAGCAGGAAAGACATGATGTATGTCCATCTCGATCTATATGTATTGTCAGCGAAGTGTTGCAAGGGCAATTGAAATTTACCTACCCTTTGGGCCGATTTCCCAGTGCTAGGATGAACTGCAGAAGGACACAGCCGAGATAGAGATATTGCAGCACTGTATTAACGACCGGTGTAACTGTGTTGCCAAAGGGGAAAGCTTTGTTTCCGTTCGCTGCGCCTGCCTTTCCGACGAGATCCATGATGACACTGGTCGTGAGCCAGAACGAAGCTAGAAAATGTGTTAGATCTCTAACTCGTGGTTGGAAACTTAAAATTACTAACCGATCGAGAACCATGAGAGAAACACTGAAAAAATGTTGTATAGCAATTGAATATGAAAAAAGAACATGCGCACGATGTTATGACTGCTTTTATACATCCTTCCGAAATGCATCAGTGAGTAGATACTGGCTGCAAAGGAGCCGTTGAGCCATCTTCGGCGTTGCCCGATGAACTCTGGAGCACCTTCAGGAACGTCAGTCTCGCCCTTTGAGGCCTTTACGTAGGTCAAGTGCCACTTCGATCCGGCTTTGGCGACAAGTTCGAAACACAGAATCCGATCCTCGGCCAAGAACATGTTCTTCTTGAAGATGTTCATATTCTCAATGCCTTTACCCGCATTGATCTTTGCGGCGGTGTGGTCACCATGGAAATACTGGTCGAGAGGGCGTCCCATGATAGCACGGAATCGGTACGCAGAGAACGCTCCCGGAAGAACGCTGACGTACCCAAAGGAGCTTTCCAGCGGTTTGTCCAGGATATTGCTGATCTTGTACTCAAAGTTCTGGGCTGCCACAAGCGGATTCAGAAGGTTTCTCCATCCTTTACCCAACATAGCGTGGATCTCTCCGCAAGCACCACCAAGATCTTTGTCATTATAGAAAGCTTCCCACAGCGCAAGGAGAGATTTTGGCCCTGGCTTTGTCCCGGCGTCTAGAAGAATGCAGACTTCCGGGTTCAATATCTTACCAAAAGCGTTGAATAGCCATCGATGAGAGTTGATTTTCTTGCTATTCTTCTGTTTGAGACAAAAGATCATTTGTACTGGAGGAAGCGTACTGGGGCCGTCGTCCTGGGGTTGTATAAGTTTCTGATTGGGCGTGACCGAAAGTTGGGTAGTGTACTCGAAAACATGAGCTGTGGTTTCTTTGCCGTCGACGTCTTTCTTCATGACACCATCTTGGTAGATGCCAACTGTTGCCAGGACATCCAAAGTCTCCTTGTCGCAGGGATCGATCCCATCGAAGACCAGACACACGACAATCTTTTGCCAAGCAGGGCCTCCCTTATTCCAGAACTCTGTCTTCTTGATGTTGACAATGTCGCGGACATTTTGCATGACACCATGAAGGGTACGCGCAGTCAATACTTTGTCTTCATTGTAGTATGTGATGGCAATGAGGAGTTCGGTGTGGCGGTTGTACATGGCCGGCCTAAGATTATAGCCATTCTTGAGCGTGAATTCATTGGGATCGCAAGTTGCAGCAGTGTCTGAAAATAATTAGCGACAGCATATTCCTGGGCTCACATTCAGCGTACATCTCAGATGTGTGAATTCTTCACTGCCTCCCTCTAGATCACTCCTGTACTTCGCCTGAATAGCGTTCTGGATAGCACTAGGTACTGGATAGTCCACACTCAGGACCGAGCCCTGAACAAGTTTCACTTTACGAGTCGCGTATCGCCTCAACCCATTTGCTCCAGGTGCTTGCCTCTGCCTCCATGCTTCCGTGGAGCTGGTGTCACTTCTCTCGTATGGAGACGGCGCTCGCCCAGGCACGCCAAATGCCGCTGTGGGGTCATCGAGAGTCGAGCTGTAGCCATCTCCGTGATACCCGTTGTAAGGAGGTGCTTGTGACTTGTGATCCCCAACATATGATTCCGTCAGAGTGTAGTTCGAAGCAGGTCTGATAGGGGAGTTGCGATCCCGGAGTGAGGCTCATCGAATGGCCCATTGAAGGGCCCCTGGCCGTGGGCTAAGAGGGCTCGTTCATCTTCGTCATCAGAACCCTCGTGTGGAGGCAGATGATATTGCTGTGTCGATTGTTAGCGAAGGGTCGCAAAACTTGGAGACACAATACTAACGCTGCCGGAGGGCAGGTCGTGCAACCGGTGGTCCTCTTCATAGCCCCCAGCTCCCGGAGATGCTTGGTAAGCCATTCAGGCGTATTGTGATCGAGAGCAGGAGTGAATTGAGGGCGGCCGCTGTGGTAGAAGGATGATGGAAGCGTTGGAGGGCAAAACTAGGATTGCGTAGCGTTTTTGGATGGAGTGAAGTAGAATGTCAATACTTGTTTACAGCCGCCAGGGCTTGAGGATGCAGTGCTCAGAGAGAGTAGCGTGTATGGCCGTCTTTGCATATATCATCGAACCTTCCAAGAGGCCTTTCGCTGTCACTTTTTGGAACGATGTTGGTGTAGAAGAATGTACGAAAGCAGAGATCAGGGGGGTCTGCTTGGCTTTGTTGCTGACCGGGATTGTTTTCTGCAGGTGTGGCTTTACCAATCAAATCCGACATCCGCCACAGCACGCACAGTGAAAGTTGAGGACACGCAAGAAACACGACAAAATGCTTCCTGCAGATTGAAGAAGTGAATTTTTCTGAAGGTCAACGCAGAGTGAAGACCCTTGCAGAACGATTATTCAATCCGCCGATATCTGAGTATCTTTCTTTGTTCTCCTCTTAGGAATTTGGCTGTGGCGCTCTCATGTCTCTGAATTCCAAAATTAGCAACACGAAGTTCCGAGCCTCCTTTACGGAATCATGTCCACCAACGGGCTGTGTGCTTGCGTCCAAGACTCCTCCGGGTATTCACAGCTGGACTCAATACGTTATTTTGAGTCCCAGTCGCCGTGCTGACATGTCGCTTCGTAGCAGCTCTTCGGGGCCCAGTCTCCCTACAAAAAAAGAAATGCCAGCGTTTGCCATGGCAGATGAGATCAGTACCTTATATCTTGCTTATCTCCTGCCGTATACTTTCTCAGTGCCATCGTGAAAGGCATAGTAGGCTCTTATCTTGCCTCCACCTCTCCAAAAGCTAGACCCTCGGCTTTGTTGTTCATGAGGCCTGAACTGTCATATCTACGCTTCGAGCAAAATTGAACCCCTACAGCTGATGTTCGTTCGGGGAAATACTAAGGGCCTAGAATCCCAAAGCTATTGAGAGTAAGGTAAAGAATCAAATCGATTGGAAGGCGAGAATACTCCAGATGATGCACAAGCTTTATTATCTCGCTGTTTTTCATGCACGCATGCAGG